CTGAATAAAGACCCTTGTGTGTTTGCATCGGAGCTGGCTCTTTGTGGTCTCTATCTCTCTCATTAGAGTCCCGGGTTCAACAGGTTTTTTTTGAAAAAATAACTGTCTTCAGTTCCCCTGGGGAGGGGCCACAGAGGTCCTCACGGCTTCTTGCTGGAAGAGGAACTCCTTCCACTGTCTTGCGTTCAGCAAGCAGACTGGTGCCCCCGCCACTACAGATTGTTCTCACTAAGGTCAACAGCCCTGCACATCCCATGAGTACTTCTCATTATTGTCGTTGATTTCTCTGCAGTGTCTGATGCTGTTCCCCTTCCCCTGGGTTTTTGTGATGCTGCATTTTCTTGGTTTTTTCCCCTACCTTTTTTTGTTCCTTTTCTTTTCTTTTTGAGTCGGAGTCTCACTCTGTTGCCCAGACTGGAGTTCAGTGGCACGCTCACAGACACCACAGCCTCAACCTGCTGGGTTCAGACGATCCTTCCGTCTCAGTCTTCTAAGTAGCTGGAATTACAGGTGTGCACCACTACGCCTGGCTAATTTTATTGATTTGTTGTAGAGATGAGGTCTCGTCATGTTGCCTAGGATGGTCTTGAACCCTGGGACTCAGGCAATCCTCTCGTTTTTGCTTCCCAAAGTGCTGGGATTACAGGTGTGAGCCACCAAGTCTGGCTCTTTTTTTTTTTTTTTTTCATTGGGGTCTCACTCTGTCGCTCAGGCTGGAGTGCAGTGACACAATCATGGCTCACTGCAGCCTTGACCTCCTGGGCTCAGGTGATACGTCCCCCATCAGCCTCCTGAGGATTTGGGACTACAGGTGTGAGCCACCACGCCCGGTCTTTCCTACTTTCCTTTCTTGTAACATCCTTTATCATCCCATTCTCCTCTGCTTGACCCTTAAAATGGAGTACAGTATTTTCCCAGGTCTCTTCCGCAGTTCTGCGTCTTTTCTTTCTTCCTATGCTCAGTCACACTCATAGTTTCAACACCATCTAGGCACTAACAAGTCCCCTGCCCCTCTGCCCTGAGTCTGCAATCCCTCAGCCCAGACAGCCCTCTTAGGCTCCACAACCACAGATCTGCCTGCCTGTCCTAGCTTACCATGTCCGGACTTGTCCTCATCACCTCTCTCTCCAATGTTCTCCCTGTGCCCTCCCCCCCATCTTAGTGAGGTGCATCCCTGTCTCCAGAAACCTGGCTTCAACTCTGGTCCCCAGTATCGGTTCTCAAACTATAACCTGGCTTCTAGGCCACAGCCCTAGTCTAGGTCCTCATTTTCTGCTTTGACTCTTGGACAGGGACTAGCTCCTCCCTGACTTCCTGTTTCCTCCAATCCATATCCAGTTTAAGTCCCCTACATACGAACCTTCAAGTTGCAAACATTAATGATGGACGCCTGCACTTTTTAATGTATTGTGTCCCTCCACCAGGGGTCAGTATAGCCTGTTGAATACATACAGTACTACACAGCCGATTGTGTTACTTGGGTACCTAGGCTAACCTTGTTGGATTTAAACCAAATTGGACTTACAAACATGCTCTTGGAATGGAACTCGTTCGCAGGTTGAGGACTTCTTGTATTCTGCCTCTGGAGTCCTATTTCTTCAAATTAAAATCTGGTAATTCCTTTGCTTAAAAGATGTAGTCACTTACCAACCATGCTCAGCCTGGCATGCCAGACCCTGTGACCTCTCCCCTGCCTGCCTTCCAACCTCCTCGCCCACCACAGTCCTCAAAGTGTGGTCCCTGATCCTGCATCACTTGGGATCTTGTCAGACATGCAAGTTATTGTATTCCACCTCAGATCTGCTGACTCGGAGACTCTGAGTTTTGGGGGGAGCAGTAACCTGTGTGTTAATAAGCCCTAGGCCACTACCTGTATGAGGTTTTCTACCTGAATGTTTCCTTTATTTTTTAAAGACAAGGTCTTGTTCTATCACCCAGGTTGGAGTGTAGTGGTGTGATCATAGCTCACTGCAACTTCAAACTCCTGGGCTTAGTGATCCTCCCACCTTGGCCTCCGCAGTAGCTGTGACTACAGGCACACCACCATGCCTGGCTATTTATTTTATCTATCTATCTATCTATCTATCTATCTATCTATCTATCTATCTATCTATCTATCTAACCTTGAGTTGGATTCTCACTCTGTGGCCTAGGCTGGAGTGCAGTGGCACACTCACAGCCACTGCAGCCTCGACCTGCTGGTCTCAGGTGATCCTTCCATGTCTGCCTTCCAAGTAGCAGGGACCATAGGTGCATGCCACCATACCCGGCTAACTTTTTGATTTACTGTAGAGATGCGGTCTCACCAAGTTGCCCAGGCTGGTCCCGAACCCATGGGCTCAAGGCAATCCTCTCACCTCGGCCTCCCAAAGTGCTGGGATTATAGGAGTGAGCCACCACGCCCGACCTAATTTTTCATTTTTGTAGAGTTGGGAATCTATGTTGCCCAGGCTGGCCTCCAACTCCTGGCCTCAAGCAATCCTCCCACCTCAGCCTCCCCAGTAGTTGGGACTACAGGTGTGAGCCACCCTATCCGGCCTCCTTCCAGATTTGTTCTTTACGAGTCAGCTGGCTCTGTTTGCTGTGCTTCTTCTACATTCTTTGGGAATACTTCCATGGCAGCATGAACCAATATCCCACCATAAGTGGCAATGTCAGCTGCTTTTCTGCAGTGGAGAGCCATTTCTCATCCCACACACAATGCCAGTCTCAGGGTAGGTGTGCTAAATCAGGGGTCCCCAACCCCCAGTCCATGGTCTGTTAGGAACTGGGCTGCACAACAGAAGGTGAGTGGCGGGAGCGAAGCTTCATCTGTATTTCCAGTCACTCCCCATTGCTCACATTATCGCCTGAGCTCCATCTCCTGTCAGATCAGTAGCAGATTCTCACAGGAGTGTGAAGCCTATTGTGAACTGCACCCGGGATCTAGGCTGTGTACTCCTTACGAGAGTCTCACGCCCGATGATCTGAGGTGGAGCTGAGAAATGATGCTTGTGCTGGATAGAGGCTGCCAATTCAGACTGACGTTAGCAGTGAGGTTTGACAGCACAGCCTCCCTTGCCCCCGCCGCTATACAAAGAAAACTGTCTTCCAAGAAACCTGGTCCTTAATGCCAAAAAAGGCTGGAGATCACTGCTCTAAATGTGTGGAATCTTAAGGACAAGCCTTCTGGAGTCAGGAGATTAGAAGAGGAAGACTTATGATTCTAATTTTCAAAACAGGACGCGAGCAGGAAGGTATGAAACGCCCCCACCCACCACCAAAGCTGACGGCACACCCTCAGAGGCAGCCAACCCCCAACTGGCTAGTTCCCTTTTTCAGGACCACATTGAGGACTTGAAACTTTCCCCCACAGAAGCCACCGTCCCTCAGCACAAGGCGGAAAGAACGAGAAACAGGACTCCACATGGCCCCTTCAGAGGACGTCTTTATTGTAACATAAAATACACAATTCTGTGATTGCCCCAAATTGTACACAATACTTTTTGGGTGGCTATGTAACTAATCTGCCTTGACACTAAAATATGTATGAAGTAATTTCACAAAGTTTTAAAAAGAAAAATTATAAAAAGTATACTTTCTTTTTAAGTTAGCTTTGTCTCAAGTCTCCCTCTACCCCCTACAAAACCCCGCACATGCCACACACGGCATCGAGACATCTGAGGACGTGTGTATGTCTGGGAGTAGGTGGGAAGTGGAGGGCGTCAGTAGGTGCCCCTGCCTCTTCTTGGGGTTTGCAGGAACAGGGAAGAGAGAGGACAAAGGGTGCAGAGTGAGTGCGCACGCTTTTCCGCGGAAGTCTCCCCAGCCCTAGGCAGAGCCTCATGAAACCAAGGACAGTTCAGCCACCAGGACCCCTGCGCTCAGGGAAGTCATGCTCTCTGGGCCTCTGCCCCCTAACCTGACGCCAGCTGCAAAGTGAGCGCAGGGCAGCTCGGGACTGCCAGGCTGACCCCTCCCAGCCCCCTGACCAGGGCTGCTGGAACAGAGAGGGTGGTCTCAGAGGCAGGTGCTGGTCAGCAGCTCTGAGTGATGGGCGGGGAAGGGCTCTCCAGGCCGGGGCCCGGGGCGGCCGAGTCAGACTTTCTCTCACCCATCCCTAGCGCACCCATCCACAGCCAAGATTTTCCTCAAATCTTGAGGGGTCAGGCGGGGCCTGGCAGCATCCTGCTTTGATGCTGGTACTCATGGAGGGGCCAGCCTGCTCCTCAGAGGCAGAAAGATTCTACTGCCTGGCATAGAAAAATAAATCAGTGTATGAAACCAAGCCAAGGCAAACAGCAGCGTTTAAAAAGTCATCTTCCAATAAATAATTTACTACAAGGAACAGTTTCCTTTAACAGCAAAACACTGGTCAATTCAGAAGCTGTTTTTGTAAAAAAAATATCTGTTTATTTACCCACATGTATAAAAATAAGGTTTTAGGGCCATCCTCTCCTGGGTATGGCCACGCCCTTGTTCTGGAGGGGCTGGGTGGCCTGGGAGGCCTCACAAGCTCTACCACTCATTCCTTTCCCTGCTGCCTGCCACAGCCCACTCCCTCCTCTGGTGCAAAGCCACAGAAACCGTGGGACAATTAAGCAGATGGGTCCGTGTCTTCTTCTTATAGTTAACCAAACTTCCTGGCAGACCTGCTGACTGCCTTCCCCCAGAGGATCAGTGCCTGCCGCCCAGCATGCCACAGCAGGTGGCCTCTGGCCTAGCAGGCTGGACCAGGTCACCACACTCCTGTCTCCTCCTCAAGACGTTGCGTGTGAGCAGCGTGGGCACACCAGGTGCTTTGGGTGTGAGGGACCCGAACCAGGAAGGGAGAGTTTTGATGTCAGATTAAGGTGGGAAGGGAAAAAACGAAAAAGCGCCAATTTAGAAACAAAAACACCATTCAGCATTTGCAAAAAGCCATCATAGAGGAGCCTTGGGAGAGCCTCAAGCCTGTCTGCCAACTCAGAGAGAGGAACAGAGGCCAAGACAGCAGCTCCCCTGGGGAACTGGGCACAGTCTCAGCACCGGGGGTCAGGCTGGGCACCCCATGCTGACCAAACATGCTCTCGGTCACATGACCCTCTTTTTCCCCCTCAACTTTGTGCACATACGTGGTACCAAGCAGCAGTCCCTGGCGGGGCCGGGTGGGAGAGGGGGAACAGAGAGAATAGCAAGGTGGGCTGAGTGTGTTGTAGAAAGTCCCCCATCCGAGAGCCTGTGACCTCCCTGGCCCCCACAGTCTGCGTGTGCCCAGTCCTACCTGGGAACACAGGCTGGGCAGAGGGAGAAGGAGGACGGGCTTTGTCACAAGGCAGCTGTCTATGTCTCAGAAGAAAAGCAGAGACGATCACGGCTAGGTGTCAATCGCCTAGTAGGCAGAATGACTCTAGTAGGCTCACTAGAGCGATGGTATTGTCCCACCCACGCCCGTCCTCCTCTTACTTGGACAGCCACGTGTCAAAGTCCAGTCACTCCCAAGATACACGACCAAGTGCCAGTCACAGGATACACTACCCTTCTACACAAAGTGAAATCAAGCGTTGCCTCTGCTTGTGGCCCCTGCGTGGCAGCTGACTCCGGACAGCACAGGGGAGACACACCACAGCGTGTGCACGCGCACGCGCACACGCACACACACACACACACACACACACTCTCACACACACTCCCTTCATGGTGCCACTGTGCACAGAAACACTAAAGTCACAACTAGTATGGACACTTCACATTATGAGCATTGTTTCCAAAGAGAAGCGATTCATGGAATTAGAACATCCACAAGAGTGATTCCTCGGGCGAGGACGAGAAAGCTGGCGTCAGGGAGGCTGCGGGGTCACGACTGTGCGTGTGGGATCCACTGGCTGTCCATGGGCCGGCACAGCAGCTCCTCCACCCGGCGTGCCACGTCCATCGTGTCTTCCAGGTCAAAGTCCCCGTCGGTGTCAAGGACGGAGTCGGGGCTTGGGAAGGAAAGGAGAGCTTAGGGAAGGGGAGGCTGTCAGAGATCACCAAGCCCTGTGGGCTGGAGGCCTACGACAGCCCGATCTGCAGCTGGAAATACTGGGAAAGACCCCCAGCCCACTGCTGGGAGTCAAGCTCTCTGCTGGCTACTGGTACAGAGAGACTTGGACTAAAAGACCCCCGTTGCCTCTAATGCTGAAAGCTCCTTTCAATCACCATGTAGAGCACCATGCAAATCTCCATTCTGAGAGCGGGAGCAGGTGATATTTGTCCAAGCCCACTCTAAACCACCAGCCACTTCTGGTCACGTCTTTCCCTCCCATGGGCCAGAGTGCAGGTCCAGGATGGCAGCCTCGGATCTGGAGGAGTGCCATGCTGCCCTCAGCCCTTCAGGGGCCCAGCCTGGGGCCCTGTTCCCCGTTCCTCCCCCGCAGGCCCCCTTGAGGACACCACCTACTTCTGGGGGTACATGTTATAGTGAGCCTGGGGGCACATGGCCGGGGAGGGGGCCTGGTCCATGTACGTGGCGCTGGCCCCAGCGTCTGCAGATGCGCTCACAAACCTGCGGGAGGAAGAGGACAGAGACTCAGCTGCTGGAGAGGCCGGGGCAGCTGCCTTGGGAGGGGACCAGGAGCATCTTTGTGTCTTTCTCGGGTGCAGAAGGACAAAGTGCCCCAATTGGCCCTGGGGCTCTAGTTGCAGGAGTGGGGCCCTGGGTGCAGGCCACAGCATGGCTGAGTCCAGGTCCCTCCCCAGAGCTGAGGCAGATTTCCCGGGGCCCTGGAAAGGGAGGGGTGGCCATGTCTGGGTAGGAGGCCAGAGCCACCTGGACACTTACTCAGGGACCACTTGCTTGATCTGTGGCTTTACGTATCCGTCGACTGCTTTGGCTGCCGAGGGGAGAAGGGTGGTGAGAACCAAAGTCTCAAATGAAATAAAACGTGATCTCCTTCAAGAATCACACATCTTGGTGGGGTGTGGTGGCTCATGCCTATAATCCCAGCACTTTGGCAGGCGGAAGCGAAAGAACTGCATGAGCCCACGGGTTCAAGACCAGCCTGGACAACTTGGTGAAACCTTGTCTCTACAATAAATAAAAAATTAGCCGGGCATGGTGGCGTTCACCTGTGGTTCCAGCTACTTGGAAGGCTAAGGTGGAAGGATTGCCTGGGCCCAGCAGGTTGAGGCTGTGGTGGCTGTGAGTGTGCTATTATACTCCAGCCTGGACAACAGTAAGACTCTGACTCAAAAAATAAAAATTATTTTACTTGACTCTTAGTTTCCTTATCTGTAGAATGAGGATAATAGTATTTCACAGAGCTGTTTTGAGATTAAGTGAGATACTATGTGAAACATGTTCAGAAAAATACCCAGCACATAGCAGGCATCCAACAGATGCTAGCTGCTATCATTATTTGATTATTTTATTTAATTATCGCCATATGAAAAGATGTTTGGACTTAGCTAGAATGAAAGAAAGGAAAATAAGACCAATACAATACCATTTTTATGCCAATCAGACTGACAGACATGTCAGTGACTACAATGTAGGGTGGGCAAGAAGACAGAGCAGCAGACACCCTAGCCAACATCTTGGGAGTGGGAAAGGGAGTCTGCTTTCTCGAGGGCAACTCTAGGAAGATGTGCCAGAAAGCTTAAAAAGTACATACCCCTTGATGCTAATTCTGCTCGAGGAATTGATCTTTAGGAAACAGCTGAACAAGATGCATGTGCCAGGCTATCTCAGCATCAGTCACAACCAAAATGTGAGTAACTTAAATTGTAAGTATCTTTTTATTGAGTTGGAGGTCTCACTCTATTGCCCAGGTTGGAGTGCAGTGGCAGAATCATAGCACACAGCGGCCTCGACCTTTTGGGTTCAGGTGATCCTCCTGCCTTAGCCTCTTGAGTAGCTGGAACTACAGGTACCTGTCACCATGTCTGACTAATTTTTTTTTTTTTTTTGAGTTGGAGTCTCACTCTGTTGCCCAGACTGGAGTGCAGTGGCCGCTCTTGGCCACCGCAGCCTCGACCTGCTGGGCTCCGGCGATCCTTCTGCCTCAGCCTTCCAGGTAGCTGGAACTATAGGCATGGACCACCACTCCTGGCTAACTTTATGATTATAGAGACGAGGTCTCACCATGTTGATCTGGCTGGTCTCAACCCCTGGTAACACATCCCTGGCTTGGGATATGTTTTTTGTTTGTTTGGTTTTCTTTTGAGTTGGAGTCTCACTCCATCGTCCAGGCCGGAGTGCAGTGGCACGCTCATGCCACTGAAGCCTCGACCTGTTGGGCTCAGGCAATCCTTCTGCCTCAGTCTTCCAAGTAGCTGGAACTACAGACATGTACCACCATGCCTGGCTAATTTTTTGATTTATTGTAGAGATCAGGTCTCGCCAAGTTGCCCGGGCTGGTCTCAAAACTGGACTCAGGTAATCCTCTCACCTCTACCTCCCAAAGTCCTGGGATTATAGACATGAGCCGCCGCACCTGACCTTGGGATATATTTTTAAGAGAAAAAACAAAATTGGGGTGGAGGAGAAAAAACAAATCAGGTCACAAAAGATTACGTATGGTATGATCCAAGCCCTGACCTTTGTCCTTGAACTCTGAGGCCCCACACACTCGGACCTCAGCTCCTACCACTTTCCTCTCTTCTCCGTGGGCTCCAGGACCCCGGCCCTCGTGAGGCTTTCCAGACATGCCAGGCTCACTTCTACTGCAGGACTTTTATACTTGTTCTACTGGCTCAGAATGTTTTTCTCTAGATTTTTCTATGGCCAGCTTCCCTAATTCATTCAGGTATACTGAGGCATCGTTTCCTCAGAAAAGCCCTCCCTGACCTCTCGAGTGAAACAATAGCCCCTTCCCCCATCACTTCTTTAGCCCTCTACCTTGCTTTACTTTTTTCAGAGCATCTATCACTAAATAAATACGCTTTTTACTTGTCTCTGGTCTTCTTCCTGCCACTAGATTGTAACCTGCAGAAGGTCCTCCACAAGCTTCGGGTAAGGGGCAGAAGGAGGCAGGATGCCCATCTACAAAAGTGGGGGAGCAGGTACCATGTACAGGAGTCGAGCTCTAGGTGACAGGGCTTGTGTGACATCTGTTTTCTCTGGTATGCTTTTACGCGTTTGCTGAAAATTTTATAATAAATATGTACTACTACTTCCAGACTCAGAAAGCAATTGAGCCATCTCTGCTTTGAAAAACAAAATTTTCCCTTCCTAATTTGTTTGATCTAAGCTTGTATTAAAAGCAACTTGTTCCCTTCGACTTGACATTTAGGATTACTGGCAGATGTTTCCTGTGTGACTGAAGAGGACAGTTCAGGGTTCACATCTGCCCAGGACAGTGCTCAGACCGCATTGACTGAATGCTGACCGTGCGGGTGCTCACGCAAGAGAGGTCTCACACATACACGCGCACACACACACTCACAACAAAAGGCAATCAGAATGCGGACACTGTTACCAGTGGCAGGCTCGCAGGGGACGGGGGTGTAGTATTTGGAGTAAACTTCGTCTTTTGGCCGGTCAGGAAACACATAGATAAGATAGTCCAGGTCCCCCAGGCGGTCGGCCAGGGACCGGATGGAGAAGTCTCTGGTGGTAAAAGGCATCAGATTCCAGAACATTCTCTCCTCTAGATGCAGAAACAGAACAATCATCTTCTAAATATGATTTCTGAAGAGGAAATCTTAAAACCCAAACATACTACAAATTCAAGCTTGCCATTTAAATGACCCCAATAGAAATCTCTATTTTAAAATAATCATGGGCCAGGCGCAGAGGCTCAATCCTGTAATCCTAGCCCTTTGGGAGGCTGAGGTGAGAGGACTGCCTGAGTTTAGGGGTTCGAGACCAGCCTGGGCAACTTGGTGAGACCTCATCTCTACAATAAATCAAAAAATAAGCCAGGCATGGTAGTGTGCCTGTAGTTCCAGTTACTTGGGAGGCTGAGACAGGAGGATCGCTTGAGCCTAGGAGCTCAAGGCTACATAGCTCAAGGCAGCTATGATCGGACCACTGCAGGTAGCCTGGGTGACAGAGAAGACCCTGACTCAAAAAAATGAAACATTCCAGATACTGTGCTGAGTGCAAAGAATAAATAAATAAATAAATAAATTTAAAAAATAACCATGATGTGGCTGTCTATGTTATAGCAGTCTACAGAATCTTGGCCTCTTCCCTCTTGAAATGTTTATCTAATATTTGCCTTAGCATTTCAGTGAAGAATGACTTGGATGATTGAACCCTTAGGGTAGTAATAATAGGCCATTTCAATTCTTCCTTGACCCTGATTAACATATGGGGACAGCCACCGACCGTTTCCACCCACGAATGTGAGTTCTTTCCTCTGGCCATCACACCAAGAGAAGCTTACTGGCTGGCTTTTTGTGACTTAAAGATTTTAACAGCTCTGATGCTCTCTCTGGCTGCATGCATGCTTCCCGGCTTTCTCACACTCCTTGTGTAGGGAGGAGGAACTGGGTCAATAAGAGGTGTTTCCTTTTGAGAGGGGCAGAGTCCCATGTGAACTTGAAACTCCTGAGATGACTGCATCTCTAGAGAGTAATGTATGTGTTACCTGCTTGTCTGCTCATGGCTTTTAAAAACCATGTCATTACAATATTTCATTTATTTTTATTTTTATTTTGAGTCAGAGTCTCATTCTCTCACCCAGGCCGGAGTGCAGTGGCATGCTCACAGCCACTGTAGCCTCAACCTCCTGGGCTCAGGTGATCCTTCCGCTTCAGTTTTCCAAGTAGCTGGAACTATAGGCACATGCCACCAAGCCCAGTTAATTTTATAATTTATTGTAGAGATGAGGTCTTGCCAAGTTGCCCAGGCTGGTCTCGAACCCCTGGTCTCAGGCAATCCTCTTGCCTCAAACTCCCAAAATACTGGGATTACAGGCTTGAGCTACTGGGTCCAGCCAATAGAGATATTTTTGTAGAGACAAAGTCTTGTTAGTTACTCAGGCTGATCTCAAACTCCTGACCTCAAGCAATCCTCCTTCCTTGGGCCTCCCAAAGTGCTAGGATTGCAGGCGTGAGCCACTGCATCAGGCCAGGCTACACTTTTGTGTTTCCTAAAACTAGTAATTGTGTTTCCCATAGTTCTATTCTTTTATAGGCTGCTGTGTTATGAGCAGCTATGCCACGCTTACACATGAGTGTTTCCCATAATACTAGTTCTGACAAATAATAAGCACACAGTAAGTTGTTAGAATAGTCTTGCAAATGAATCTTCAGAAGGTATTACAAAAAAAGTAATTTGGCAACAAAAGCAGCTCACTTCAGATATCAAGCCAAAAAGGGCAGAGACTCACGAGAATCAAACTTCCAAGCAATGGTGATGCCGCCAATTTCCGAGTCGCTGAATCTCAGCAGGAAGGTCCCATCCGGCTTATTGATGAGCAGGTCATGGGCCTGTTGCTTGTTCACGAAACCCAGGATGGCCCTGGATCACAGAGGCCGAAGAACAGAACCAGAGGGTGATATGTTAATGCCAGAAATGCTAACTCTCCTGAGCTGCCACCGCCCTGAGAACTGGAGACCCTCACCCATCGTTCCAGTGAGGCTTGAGATGCTTCTTCAACACCTCCATCACCCCGTCAAACCACTGCCAGAACGTGTAGTTCCGTCCCAGCAAATTCTCCTGGTTGGAGACATGACAGTGAACATGAGAAAGTTGGGGGAGGGGACATTTGGAACGTTATCTGCATAGCCTCTAGTTGGAAAAACTAGATGGAAAACAAACTTCTGTGCTGTTGAAAGCAGTCAGATAAACCCGCCAACTTGGGTTTTACCTAATGGTTTACAACCACAACACAGACCAGCTATAAGACAGAGGGAGACAGGAGAAGCCACAGTATGACAGCCAACACCCGGCTTCCTACTGCGCACAATGTCCCACAGGTCGGGCCCACATGCCCCTGGCTGTTTTTAATGTGAGCTCATGACCAGCAACATTAGCATCATTTGGGAGCTTCTGAGAAATTTAGACCAGCTGAATCACGGCTGCTTTTTAAACAAAGGAATTAAGAAAGGTAGATTAGGCTGGGTGCGGTGGCTCGTGCCTATAATTCCAGCACTTTGGGAGGCTGAGGTGAGAGGATTGACTAAGCTCATGGGTTTGAGACCAGCCTGGGCAATTTGGCGAGACTTCATCTCTACAATAAATCAAAAAATTAGCTGGGCGTGGTGGTACACGCCTATGGATTGCCGGGCCCAGCAGGTCGAGGCTGTGGTGGCCGTGAGCGTGCCACTACACTCTAGCCTGGGCGACAGAGAGACTCCAACTCAAAAAAAAAAGGTAGATTTATTCAAGGAAAGATATGCTGTGAAGGGCACAATGGGCAGGAAAACAGCAAGAAGGTCTGGTGTCCGCTGACCACAACTGCCTTTTTTTTGTTTGTTTTTGAGTTGGAGTCTCACTCTGTCGCCCAGACTGGAGTGCAGTG